ATTAGCTGTGATTAAGAAGGGACCAGAACCTGAAGCAAAACCTTTGCTTTACTGGGACAATTGATGCTGGTTAGCTGGGGCTGAAAAATCAGCTGTAAGTAACAAGAGACCAGCATCACTGTGGTGGAGTCTTCTGGGAGGTATTTCCTCAGGGTCAGCACGCAGAGGGGACCCGCACCTCTATTTCAAGCTGGAAGCAGGACTTGGTAATGTGTAAGAGTCTCCTGCATGGTTCTGGTGCTGAAAGCATGAAGGGGTCACAGAGAGCAGCTGAGGTGGCACCCTGAGAAGCCAGGAAAGGCCATACATGAAAGTGCAGCTTCAGTTGCAGTGAAGACCCCAGAATTGAAGGGGTCATGGAGAGAATCTGAGGCTTTGCACCCCAAGAGGCAAGAAGAGGCCATTGGTGAAGGTGTAGCCTCAGTTTCAGTGGAGACCCCAGCTTTTTGGAGATGCTGGGACCATGGGACGACCACCAAGGACAGTGGTTAAGTGTGGAATGGAGCTGGCCTGGCTCTGTGAGACAAGCTAAGTGTGCTGTGGACTGCAGAGTCAGAGAAGTGGAGCTGCAGAAGATCGTGAGTGAATCCCAGATGTCCAGCCTTGAGCTACTTTGCTGGTCTTTGGTTTTGTTTAGTTGTGCCCAATTCTTCCCTTTGAAATAAGACAGTACTTGTTTTAGATTTTACAGAAGCCCACTCACAGTTGAGACTTTTAAAAGAGACTATGGACTTTAAAGTGTTTGGATTTTTTAAGGAATGTGGGGTTTTTAAGGTTGTGCTTTCTTAGGTTGTGATATTAACATCATATCTTGGGGACAGAAATTGGAAAGATATGGTTTAATAGGGATGTTTGTGTGCCAAGTTGACAAGGGGTAAATTGTGCTGGATAGCTTTAGTGTCAACTTAACACACCTGTGTTGAGGGAGCCTCAGTTGGGGAATTGCCTCCATTGGACTGGCCAGTGGCCATGTCTGAGGGGCGTCTTCTTGATGAGTGATGTGGGAGGGCCCAGCTCACTGTGGGTGGTGCCACCCCTGAGCAAGTGGGCCTGTGTTGCATGAGAAAGCAGGCTGAGCAGGGGCCAGGGGAGCAAGCCAATAAGCAGTGTTCCTCCATGGCCTGTGCTCCAGCTCCTGCTTCCAGGTTCCTGCCCTGAGTTCTTAACTTGGGCTACCAGATGAACTGTGACCTAGGATATGTAAGCTAAATAAATCCTTTCCTCCCCAGAGGAAAGGTCAGAGTATTTTGTCACAGCAATGAAGAACAAACTAAGACACTCTAGCAAGAGTTTTAAGCACTATGTTAAAAAGGTTGCAGGTAGTATACAGCCTTATCTGGTTCCTGATTTTATTGAGGATGCTTCCAGCTTTTCTCTTTTAGAATGATGTTAGTCTTGAGTTTGTTGTATATAGCTTTAGTTATGTTGAGGTATGATCCCATCACGCAGTTTCCTCTAGGACTTTTAACGTAAATACATTTGTCAAAAGCCTTTTCTGCATCTATTGAGATGACCATGTGACTTTTCTCTCTGACTCAATTTATACTTTTTATAATATTTATTTCCTTATATATATCAAACCATCCCTGGTCTCTGTAATAAAGCCAACTTGAACATGGTGGATGGCCTTTTTGATGTGTATCTCTCTGTGGCTTACAACTACATTGTTGACAATTTTTATCTATGTTCATTAAGAATATGGGTCTGTAGTTTTCTTTTCTAGTCATGCTTTACCATGTTTCAGTATTAGAGTGATACTGGTGTCATAGAAGGAGTTTTATAGTTTTCTCTCTGTTTCTATCTTTTTGAATAATTTAAGTAGTATTGGTTGTAAATCTCTTTTAAATGTCTTGTAGAATTCTGTTGTAATCCATCTAGGCCTGTATTTTTTAGTCAGGGAGTTTTGTATTACTGTTTCACTTTCCTTATTTGTTATAGGTTGGTTTAATTTGTTGCTCTCTTCTTGGTTTAGCTTTGGTGGTTTCCAAGAATTTAGATATTAATCCATTTTTTAGGTTTTCAAATGTAATTGAATATAGATTTTTAAAGTATTCCCTTATAATGTTCTGGATTTTTTAGCATCTGTTTTGACATTTCCCCTTTCATTTCTGATTTTGTATATTTGGATTTGCTCTTTCTTTCTTTTGGTTAACTGGGCTAAGAGTCTACGCTGTTTATCTTTTCAAAGAACAAGCTCTCAGATTCATTGATTCTCTGTATTGCATTCTTTGTTTGTATTTCATTAATTTCTGCTCTGATTTTGTTATTTTTTCTCCTCTACTGTTTTTTTTTAAATTTAATTTTTTTATTCTTGCCTTTCCAGAGTCTTGAGTTGCAATATTAAGTCATTTCTTTGTGCTCTTTCTGATTTTTTAATGTAGGCATTAAGAGCAATAAACTTTCATCTTAGGACTAATTTTAAAGTATCCTAGAGATTTTGTTGTGTTGTATTCTATTTTCATTTAGTTCCAGGAATACTTTTATATCTTAATTTCTTCTTTGACACATTCATCCTTCTGGAGTATGTTGTTTAATCTCCAAGAGTTCATGTAGTTACTAGAACTTCGGTATTGATTTTAAGCTATATTTCTTTGTGGTCTGATACAATGCATGACTTTTCTTCTTTTTTTTTTTTTGCATTTTTGAACTTTGTTTTGTGCCACAGAATATCATCAATTTCAGAGAAACTTTCCTTGGGCTCCTGAATAGAAAATGTAGACTTTGGTGCTTGGGTACAATATTCAATAGATACATGTTAGGTCCATTTGGTGTATGGTATAATTTAATTCAGATGTCTCTCTGTTTATATTTTGTCCAGTTGACTTGTCTATTGGAAATAATGGGGTACTGAAATTCCCTACTATTACTGCATTGGGGGTCATCTGTGTCTTAAAGTCCTGTGTTTGTGAAATTGGGTGCACCAAAGTGTGGTACATATATGTTCATGATTGTAATATCTTCTTGGTCAGTTGTTCCTTAGATCAGAATGAAATGATCCTCGTTATCCCTTCTGATTAGTTTTAGTTTGTCTGTTTTGTCAGATATTAGAATTGCAATCCCTGCTTGTTTCTTAGTGCCATTTCCTTAGAATATTTTTACCATCCTTTCTCCTTAAGTTAGGGCCTTTCTTTGAAAGTAAGATGTATTTCTTGCAGACAACAAAAAGTAGATTTTGCTTTTAGCCCATTCAACTAGCTAGGGTCTTTTGTCTGAGGAGTTCAGTCCATTGATAGTTAAAGTTATTATTGAAAGATGTGTATTTGTTACTATCATTTTAATTTCTGCTTTTATTCTTGGTCTAATTTTGTATTCTACAACTGTGTATTTAGTTTCTCCATGCTCTCTCTTGGGTATAGCTATTACTTTCTTCAGTCCTTTGCATTTCTTCGAGTATTCTGTGAAGGGCAGTTTGTTGTACATGAATTCTTTCAGCCATTTCATGACATGGAAGATTTTTTTCTTTCCCCTTCAACTATAACACACAGTTTTTCTGGGTAGAGTATTTTGGGTTGGCATCCGTGGTCAATTAGAACTTTGAATACTTTGATCCAGACTCTTCTGACTTTCATAGTTTGCATTGAAAAGTCAGCTGTAATTCTGATGAATTTTCTTTTATGTGTGTGTTTTTTTTTTTCTTGCAAGTTTCAGTGTTATCTCTGTTCTGTATATTTAGTATTTTTACTATGATATGCTATAGGGAGTTTCTTTTCTGGTGCTATCTATTTGGTGTTTTATGTGCTTCTTGTACTTATATGAGTATGTCATTCCTTAATTTTTGGAAATTTTCTTCTATAATCATATAATCATCTTTAAAATTCTGTGTCCTGGGTTATCTCTAGAAGGTTCTCATTGTAGAACTCTTCTATAGAAACTGCAGAAACCAAGAGAGGTGTTCTCAGGGTGTCTCCAAAGTCTGAGCCCTTACTATCCAGCAGAGAAGCTTGGATTTGGGCCAGTGGGAGGAACTTCATATGGTCCCAAAGGAGGGGACTGGGCATGGCATGATTTGGGATGCTCACCCTGTAGAAGCCAAGTCAGGTGCAAGTCCTTACTTTATTGTATTTTTATGAGCATGTTGCCTGCATGTGTATAATTTCATATTGCATATGTTGTCCAATGTCTGGAGGTCAGAAGAGGGCATTTGATCCCCTGGAACTGGAGTTAAGAATAGTTGTTACCCTTCCATATTGATGCTGAGAACTAATCCCTTCTCCTCTGAGAGAGCAGCCAGTGCTCTTAATTGCTGAGGCATCTCTCCATCCCCTAGTATTACATTTCAAAATACCAGAAACCTGTTTGTGCGCCTTCATTTTTTTGTTGTTGTTGTTGTTTTTCTTAGTATTTAAAATATAGTAAATTTTTAATTAATCCTCTTTGTACTACGTTTACAGTGTGCAAACATCCTAAATACATTTTATTGGTTTTCATTGCCATTGCCTTCTAGATGCAACTTAACAATTGCAAAAAATAGAGAATATATCAATATTTTCAAAGCAGTTATGGTAGCACACTGCAGTTCGAGCTATAAAGACTCCCAGCCACAAGGAAGCTAAGTCAGGGGGACAATGAACATATTAACCTACAACCTCTCAGAGAAATATGAGACTCTTCCTCATTAAAGGAAATTGCTTTATACCTTAAGATGTTGAATCTCAGAACTGTTGAAGAGCAAACTTAAGACCACTGCAACCAGCTTGTAATAAGATCATATTCAGGCTTCTGTGTCATCCAATGTTCCCTCTTTATCAGATGGCAGTCTCATGTGGTTTTACCTTTTTTATGCAAAAATGGTACAAATTTAACCAAATCATTTACTTGTGCTGGAATAATGGTAAATAAAATACATAATAAATGGTTTGTAAAGCCTATAAACTTCTTGTACAATTTTATGTCATTAGGGCTTTTTTTTTTCCAGTCAACTATTTTATTTATGTAGTTATCCATGTATTTATTTCTTTATATATTATTTATTCATGTATTTATTTATTTGTGTCCCACAGGACCCTAGAAAACTTCTCTTCACAACTGGTAAGTTGTTGTTCATTGACTTTCTTTAGATTCATGAACAGCTTTGAAAATAAGCAGTGTCAAACTGCAGAGCACTCAATGCATGTTAAATTATAACATAGTAAATATTAACTGGCTAGGCATATGCTGCAATGAAAACAGAGGTAAGAAAGCAAACAATTTGGGGTTTGGATGGAGAGAAAAAAAGAAAGCAGGTATATTATTCTGTCTTAAATTCTACCAATGGAAACACTGTAACCTCCAATGCTTCCTGAAGGCCTGCTTTGTGCTGCTATTGTGATAGAAATGTAGAGGTAATATACATGCCTTGAGTTCCTGCTCTCAGAGCATTAGAAAGAAACAACAGACACTTGGTACTAGTGTAATTCTCATATTACAGTCATTCAATGAGACATCTTATGATCTTAAAACAAATGAGACAAAGTCTTTAGGGGATATCCTATGTTTGGGGATACACCCTCTTTTCCACTTGTAGTTTATTTTTCCTTCTCAAGGATATTGCCCATGAAATATGTCTGTACTGAAGTTTTGTTAAAGTAGATTTGAATAGCTTAAAAGTTTTTCCTAATGATAGACAATTAAAGCAAAAAGAGAAAGTTGAATCATGGGGATGTTCTTAGCATATTTCAGGTATGAGGGTGGTTGGGGTTGAGAGAACCTGTGATAAGTGATTGCAGAGAAGACTACCCTACAATATGCATTGGTTTTCTTTTGAAATAACTTTTAAAATTTTTATTGAGCTATTGTGCATTTCATACACTAGTTCTTAATCAAATTTAGACCCACTGCCCCATCCATGCCCACCCCCATACCCCACACTTGGTCGCATGTACTCCTCCATACCATGCATGTTAAATGCTATCCACTCAAGCATTTGCACCTGGATGTTCTTTGGTGCAAATTCACCCATTGGAGTCTAGTCGGTCTCTTTAGAGATCTTTGGTAAGGCCTCTTCACCTTCACCCAGTAGTACTCAGTCTCTAATAGTTCCAATACTAGGACCAACCCACTACCCATTTCCCTGGCCCACTTTGGGCCCTGGTCTGATTGAGTTGGCTTGGGACCTGTGCTCAATGCCACCATTGCCACAAGTTCACATATGCAAGCTTCCAGTGGCCAGAAAAACCTCTGCTGCCCTATGTTCATCAACCAACCCTGGCTCTTACAATCTTTCTGCAACCTCTTCCACAGTGGTCCCTTTAGTCATGGGTGGGAGGGGTTTGTTAGAGGAGTCCTATCCAGAGACACACACTCTGCAGACTTAAATTCATTAAAGTTGTCCAGTTGTGGCCTTTCTGTGCATCACACTCTGTTGTATAAGAAAGTTTCACTGGTGAGAGTTGAAGGATGCGTTATTTTTCTTTCTATCTCTCATTCCACTATGTTCCATGAGTCTTAGGTGTAGAGGTTCCACTGTAGATATGTTACTTAGGACTGGGCATCTCTCAGATGTATCTGCACTGTGTCTGACCAGTTGTGGTGTTCTGCAATAGCCTCCATCTGTTGCAAGAAGAAGCCTCTTTGATGAGTGGTATATGGTATACTTTTTTGTAAATATAAGGATCCATAGTTAACATATAGTAAGAAATTTGATTTACCTAGCAATATGATAGATAGGGTTGTCTCTAGGGTCTAAGACCTCTCTAGCCATGTGTATATTATGTGTTTACAGTGACACACATGATTTCACTCCATATTGAGAGGTCTTTATACTCAATTAGATAGCTGTTCATTACCCACTGCACCACTAGAGGTAGTTTGCTCTGCTGGTTGTTATGGTTATTAGGTCTTAGGGCTGGGTTAGACCATCAGTTGATTTTCTCCTTTAGCAGCTTACTGAGTATCCTCCATAACTATGAGAGCTAAACCAGGTAGAAGACTCCCAGGTCTACATTGAAAAGGAGTGGAGATAGTGGACAGCCCTCTCTGGTTCCTGATATTAATGGGAATGATTCATGTTTTTCTCCGTTTAGGATGATGTTGGCTATGGGTTTGTTGTTTATTGCTTTAATTATGTTGAGGTCTGTTCCCTCCAGACCAATTCCTTCTAAGACTTTTAACAGAATGCATGTTGTATTTTGTCAAAGGTCTTTTCTGCATGTATTGAGATGACTATGTGATTTTTTTCTCTTTAAGTCCATTTATATGTTTTATTACATTTATTGGCTTACATATATTGAACCATCCCTGCATCTCTGGAATAAAGCCAACTTGATTGTGATGGATGATCTTTTGGATGCATGTCTGAAAGTGGTTCATGAATATTTTGTTGAGTATCTTTGAATCTATATTCATTAAAGATTTGGGCCTATATTTTTCTTTTTTATTTTGTCATTATCTTGTTTTGGTATTAGAGTGATAGGGCTTCATAAAATGAGTTTGGGAGTTCTCCCTCTGTTTCTATTTTTTTTTGTATAATTTAAGTGGTATTTGTTGTAGATCTTCTTTGAATGTCTGGTACAATTCTTCTGTGAATCCCTCTGGGCCTGAGCTTTATTAAGTCAGGATATTTTGCACTACTGTTTCAATTTCCATATCTGTAATGAGTCTATTTCAGCTGTTGATCTCTTCTTGATTTAACTTTGGTAGTGTCCATAACTTTAGAAATTCTTCCATCACTTTTAAATTATTGAATTTTATGGAGTATAGATTTTTATATTTATTTATTTATTTATTTATTGTTTTGTTTTGTTTTTTGTTTTTGGTCTTTTTAAGACAGAGTTTCCCTGTAGTCACAGCTGGCCTGGATCTCACTATATAGACCAGGCTGGACTTGAACTCATGGCAATCCACCTGCCTCTGCCTCCCAAGTGCTGGGATTAAAGGTGTGCATCACCACACCCGGCTGGAGTATAGATTTTTAAAGTATTCCTTCACAGTGTTCTGGATTTTTGTGTGTGTGTGTGTGTGTGTGTGTGTGTGTGTGTGTGTTTGCTGTGATGTTTGGTCTTTCATCTCTGATTTTGTTAAATTGGATTTGCTCTTTCTTTTTTTGGCTAATTAGGCTAAGGGTCTTTGTATCTTCTTTAACTTTTCAAAGAACCAGGTTTTTAAATATTTTATTTATTATTTTTTTATTTTTTATGTGTATGAGTGTATTGCCTGCATGTACGTGAGTGTACCCGTGTCGTGCAATGCCACAGAGGTCAAAAGAGGGTTTCGGATTCCCCTGGAACTGGAGTTAAGGACGAAGAACCAGCTTTTAAATTGATATTTTTAAAAATTATTTTCTTTGTTTCTATTTCATTAATTTCTGCCCATATTTTTGTTATTTTTTCTTGTCTACTGAGCTTTGGCTTGGTTTGTTCTTTCCTTTCCAGAGTCACGAGTTATACTATTAAGTCATTTTCATGTGTTCTTTCTGATTTTTTTTTTAATGTATGCACTAAGAGGTATAAACTTCCCTCTTAGGGCTGCCAGAGTTTTTGTTGTGTTGTATTGTCATTTTCATTTAGTTTCAGGAATACTTTTATTTCTTTCTTAATTTCTGTTGTGACCCATTCATCATTCAGGAGCGTGTTGTTTAATCGTCATGATTTTAAGTAGTTACTAGAACTTCTTTTGCTCTTAATTGTAAGCTTTATTGCACTGTGGTCTGATAGAATGCATGGAATTATTTCAATTTTTTGTATTTGTTGAGAATTTTTTTGTGTCCCAGAATGGGGTAAATTTTAGGAAAAGTTGCGTGGGCTGCTGAGAAGAAACTGTATTCTTTGGTGCTTGGGTGAATATTATGTAGATGCTTTTTAAGTTCATTTCATGGAACATGTCATTTAATTCAGATGTCTCACTGTATTCTTTGGTTGACTATCTTATATTAAGATAGTGGGGTACTGATGTCACCTACTATTACTGAGTTGGGGTTAATTTGTGTTTTATAGTCCTGGAGTACTGTTTTTATAAAATTGGGTGCACAAGAGTTTAGTGCATTGATGTTCATGATAGTATTATATTCTTGATAATTTGTTCCTTTGATTAGAATTAAATGACCCCCTTTTTCTCTTCTGATTAGTCTTAATTTGAGGTCTATTTTTGTCAGATATTAGAATTGCAATACCTGCTTGCTTTTTAGAGCCATTTGCTTGGAATATTTTATTTTCCAATCTTTCACCCTAAGGTATTGTCTATCCTTGAAGGTGAGAGCTTCTTGAAGACAATAAGAAGACTGGTTGTCTTTCTTGATTCCATCCATTAGCTGTGTCTTTTGCCAGGAGAGTTGAGGTCACTGATATTTAGTGTCATTATTGAAAGGTATATTTTGGAATCTGTCATTTTAACTTCTTTGAGTTAGTAGCCCTATTTTGTGTTTCCATTATTATTCCTTTCTTTTTTTCCTTCTGTAGCTTCTTGGGTATACTCATTCTGAGAGACCTGAGTGACTCCATCTTGGATAAAACCTCCATGGGACTGACCCAGCCCTGAACCTTGTTCCAGGAAAAACCACAAAAAAAGTACACTTGGAACAGATAGAGAACAACTACCCCGCCAATGGTCAATTAACCAGGGACAGGGAAGTACTAAAAGTCCAGATATCTCTTCAGATTTCCTGAAGGCAGCAGTTTATGGTTTGGCACTGGGCTGCAACCAATCAGATGCTTGCCAGTCTAGAAACCCCCTACTTGCTAAACTTGGTGAAATAAACCTATAAAAACCTGTCTCCCAAAGCAAGGGGTCTCACATCTGAGATCTGCAGGGTGGGTGATAGAGTGGGCCCAAGCTTAAGCTTGCAACAATGAAAAAAAACCCTTGTGTGTTTGCATCAGTTGGCTAGTTGGTGGTCTTTGGGGTCTTACGAACTGGGCACAACAATTCCTAGCTTTGGTCCTTTGTTTTGCTTCAAGTAGTCTCTGTAGGTCTGGTTTGGTGGACACACAGTTTTTCAGCCTATTCATGTAATGGAAAATTTTCCATTCCTCTTCGACTAAGATAGATAATTTTGCTAAGTAAAATATTTGGGGTTGGCATCCATGGTCGTTTAGAACTGAGAATACTTTTGTCCA